AAACAATTGTGTGCAATGCTTTTGCAAGGTAATGATTTTTATGACATTTGGTGGGCAGAGCTTTGGAAATCTACTTTTAGAATAGAACCCTTCTTCAAAGGATTAATAAGAAGGGACAGATGGGTGACATAGGAATGGGGTCTGTCTTTCTTACAACAATGTCATATAAAAATAAGATCTCATCTCAGCTAGAAAATATGGTAAATCAAGCATCGGTTACCCAGACATACCTTCATCTCTATACTCTTTCTTGTCTATCCTTCTAAGCAATGTTTTTCCTTATTTCTATCACTAAGGAACAAAAACAAACCAGCAAACCTCCTGTCAGGTCTCCTGGATTCTACTATGCACTTTCTAGTGCTTCAGTCCATGTGCATATACCTGCAGCCTGTGGTAAGCCTTATTTAGGGAAAGGTAGGTTCTTCAGAGCTTTTCTATTGGCACATATCATCACCATCATCTCCGTGATAAAGTGGGAGGACTATATTTATTTCAGTTACTTATCTGAGTCCTTTCTATATACAGAAAGCACACATACACACACACACACACACACACACACACACACACACACACACACAAACACACATGCACAAGACAATGACAACAGCAATAGCAAACAAACAAAAAGAGGACAGAAAATAGTGGGAGTAAAAGATGACTCTTCTTTTAAAAAAAAAGAAAAAAAACTATTAATTTTTAGATAAATACATAGTCATGATCGCTACTCATGAATATGGGACAAAATGAGAAAAATTGTTGATAAAGGTCTGGAGAAATGACTCATCAGATAAGAGCTGCTCTCACAGAAGACACAGTTGGATTCCCAGCACCCGTATCTGTGATTCCAGTTCCAAGGTATGGGATGATCTCTTCTGGCCTCTGCACACACTGCATGCACATGATACACAGCCAAAATGTATACATAAAATAAAAATAAACAAATCTTTAAACATGTTGACCAGAGGGGGAGACTGAAGAAGATATAGAGCTGGATTCCCAGACCCGAGAGGGGTCAACTTGGCTTTTGACAGGGCATCTCCAACAAGGAAAAGCATGAACAAGCTTCAATACGACCAGTCAGTCAGAAGTGAAATAAAGGTTGCTATTTGGGTTGGGGGATATGTTCCAGGAGACAAGAATTCAAATTCTCAGAACCTATGTAAAAAGCCATGAATGTGTGTAGCCTCAGCACTGTGTGTGTGTTGGGGGCAAAGACAGAAGAATTTCTGGGGCTAGCTGACTGCCAGCCTAGCTGTAGGTTCAGTGAGAGATTTTTCTCTCAAGAAAATGAAGCAGAGTGATAGAAGAGACACCCCACTTGATGTCCTAATGTGCACTCCTACACTCACATACACTCGGACACATTTCACAGGAACGCAAAACGAAGGAAAGGAAGAAAAATAAGTAGCCTCACTCCAAGTAGACATTTCTATGTTACTTGCCTGAAACTTTTTCAGGGCCTCCTCTCCTTCTCCACTTCCTTCTCCTCTTTGTCCCTCTCTCCTCCCCCCTTCTTTTGAGACACAGTCTTACTCTGTGATCAGCTTCCTTAGTTCTGAAATTACAGACATGTATCACATACCTGTAGATGTAACCAACCTTCTTATTAAATAAGAAACACAGAACCAATGCAAAGAAGAAAGCCAAGAGGTCAGAGCTAAGAGCTAAAACCTTACTCTTCCTCCTGCGGTGGTCCTACCTCTCTGAACCAGAGCTACTTTCTGTGTTAAAGTCCTTACACAGAATTTCTGTTCTGCCTTCTCATTTGTTGTAAACCCAACCACATGACCGCCTCGTCACAGCCTGTCTGTATAGACCTCCAGGTTTTCCATGATTGGTATTGAGATTAAAGGCATGTGTATCCAATAATGGCTGTATCCCTGACACACAGAGACTTACCTAGCTCTGCCTACCAAGTGCTGGGATTACTAGCGTACGCCACCACTGCCCTGCTTTCCTATGGCTTGCTAATAGCTCTGACCCTGGGCAACTTTATTTATTAACATACAAATAACTTTTTTTTTTTTTTTTTTTTTGGTTTTTCGAGACAGGGTTTCTCTGTGTAGCTTTGCGCCTTTCCTGGGACTCACTTGATAGTCCAGGCTGGCCTCGAACTCACAGAGATCCGCCTGGCTCTGCCTCCCGAGTGTTGGGATTAAAGGCGTGCGCCACCACCGCCCGGCTAAATAACATTTTAATACAAATAAAATATCACCACATACCCAGTTTATGTAGTGCTGAGGATTGAACTCGGGCCTTGTGCTTGCTAGTGACCATTCTACTTACTGGGCCAAGTCCCCAGTATATTTCCCACTATATTAGCTTTGTGAAAAAAATTCTCTAGGGCTGACCCTTGGTATTAGATAGTCAATTAGGGGGCTCAACTCTGGGGAACAGTCTACCTTGCTACAAAGTGACACTAAATGGACTCAGCAGGTTGTATTTATATATTTAATTACATAATAATTAATAAATAATAATTACATTAAAAAACTATGAGGCCATGAATTTAAGAGGGAGTTAGGGGGGGTCATAGGAGGAGTTAGAGGGAAGAGAGGGGTAATGATGTAAGAATAGTATACATATATGACATTTTTAAAAAAGGAAAGGAAATTTCTCTATCACAGCTCTCTAGCTTTCAAAGCGCACAAGGACTTTAGGGAAGTATTTCGAAATATGAAGGGCAAGTGCTGGATGTGGTGGCACACATATATACTTCCAGTGATTAGAAGGTAGAGGCAGGAGGATCATGAGTTCAAAGCCAGCCACAGCTAAGTAAGTATGTTGAGGCCACTCTGACTTTCATGAGACCTTGTCTAACTAAATAAACAAAGAAATGTTAACAAAGAGAAGGCAACAGGTAAACATGTACTCCTCTTTGACAGAAGTGTAGCAGTGAATGAAGCAGAAAGGCAGTGGGCAGCTGGAGTGAACCAGCTGAAAGTCCCTCCATGGTATCATTCCAGAGGCCCATGACCAGCCGGGTATCCCTCCATCATGTCATCCCAGAGGCTCATGATTAGCCAGGTATCCCTCCATCTTGTCATCCCAGAGATTCATGATTAGCCAGGTATCCCTCCATCACGTCATGCCAGAGGCTCATGATAAGCTGGGTATCCCTCCATCATGTCATTCCAGAGGTTCATGATTAGCCAGGTATCCCTCCATCACGTCATCCCAGAGGCTCATGATTAGCTGGGTATCCCTCCATCACCTCATCCCAGAGGCTCATGAGAGGCAATGCAATTTCAGAAGAGACTTCTTGATAATAGAGAAAGATACTTTTCTAGCCCTTGTTGTAGAGCTCATTGGCTCCTGAATGCCACTGTCCTGGTGATTCTGGGTTGTTTAAATAAGGAATACATAAACTCTCCTGGGAGTTAGTTCCTCTAACACTACTTCTAGAGGCAAAAGCCTGGAGACAGGTGACCTCTCTGTTTCATGGGCAGCTCAGGATGATCTGGGTTTGCTCTTCCACCTCATTAGGATACAGATTCTAACTCTAACTAAATTAGATATCAAAACCTCACCAGAAGGTTCCAGACCTTGTTCTTTTCCTGGATTTTGGATTGGGAACAGAAAAGCTAAAATTAACTTTTGTCACTTGCTTGATTTTCAAATTGAGCTATCTATTGCCATGGAGGAGGCTACCTCTAACAGAATTAGGAGCATGGTTAAGAAAACCAAGATTATGATTTTTTTGGCTTCATTTCTGTTCTATATTGTCTCTCTCCTTCTCCTCCCATTCTATTATTTCTTTTTTCATATGCATAACACTTTATAACATGTAGTTTATTGTTTATGTCCAATAGACATTATTTATCTGTATGTGAATTCTTACTGTAAACTTATTTGTAACTACTGAAAATATGAAGTTGAAGTTATATGCATAATTTCAGCATACTATTAAAAACAAGGCATAGGGCAGTGGCTATAGCTAATACTCATGCAAATATAAATACCTATATCATCTATATCTATATTTATAGTTATGGACTGAATGTTTATGCTCTTCCCAACATCAAAATTAAAGTCCTAAACTGAAGTTATGACAGCATTTGGAGTTGGAAGATAACTCAGTTTAGATGAGGTCATGAGGGTGAGGTAACAATGGCTGAATTTGTGTCCATGTGACAATTAGAAGAGAGAACAGGGCCCTTCTTCTTTCTACTACATGAGGGTACAGCCATGTGCAGGTCAGGAGGAGCCCCCAAACCGAGTAAATCTGATGGTACCTTCACCTTGGTCTTTCCAGTTTTCAGGATGGCACATAGAAACATTTGCTGTTTATGTCACCAATCCATAGCATTCTGTCCCAACAGCCTGAGCAAAGTATAGCCCTGTGACTTTATGCATTTGACAATTCATAGACACATTTGACAATTCCAACACAGCTGGAATGCTAATTGAGAAAGCAGGGTTGCTGGTTATATCTCATAAGATAAAAAGAATGCCTAAAAGATCTTAAATAAGGAAGAGGGACAAGATCTGCTGTTACACCAATTCAGATCTACTTATTTACACTGGAAACCTTTATTTGAATATGTAATATATGTGTATAAGATGCTTTAATCAATAACAATTACAGTGACTTAAAAAATGTCTCATAAGGTCATCTGAACAAGTGGTTCTCATTCTGTGGGTCACAATCTTTTTGGCAAACCTTTATCTCCAAAAATACTTACATTACTATTCATAAGTAGCAAAACTGCAGTTATGAAGTAGCAACAAAAATAATTTTATGGTTGAGGCTCACACAACATGAGGAACTGTATTAAAGGGTCACAGCATTAGGAAGTGTGAAAACTACTAAGTACCAAAGCAATACTTACAAAGTCCCTGCAGTTCACTAATATTAATGATCCATTAAGGGTTTATGAAAAAAATGGTGGCACAACTTTTAAGAGTATCTGAAGATGTTTATTATCCCAGGGTCCTATCCTGTGCTCAGAAAGGTGATGATAGCTTAGTTGGCCAGAAAATGGAGTCAGACTTACCAGTAGAACCTATTTGGAACCACTGATTCCTGGATAAGCTGCCATCTTCTGCCAAATTCAGCAGAGCTGTACAACTGGAGAGAGAAAGAGAGAGAGAAGAAATAGATCAGCATAGTGGGACCTCGTTCTTGTTCTTGAATTCATCAATACCAATACCTGTCATTTCAAGGTAAGGACATCATCTCTGTTTTTGATGTCAATTCTGCAAGTCAGATAGCAACATCTCACTTCAACACAATGGGAGTGGGGCTAAGGGCTTATATGATGTGCTGTGAATCTTATGTTCAGTAAATAGTGAGGCAAACTGGGATTCATACAGTGTTCTGCCTGGTGGCAATGTCTTCTGCCCTCCTTTATAACCTTAGCAACATATAATTGGTAGTATCTAGGGTAAAATCAGTACTTAGTTTCTGAAGATCCCACTATGATACCTTATCTTTATGGAAACTGAGATTCTTGAAACAACCAAAGAGGAAGGAAGGCAGAGGGTACTTCTAGAGGCCTGGAGAAACAAGTGGAGTCTAAAGAAATAACAGGATTCAAATTGACAAAATCCACATTGATTACAAAAGGGTGAGCAGGGCGTCAAAATTGTAAGATAGGTAGGGCTAACATATGAATAAACAGGGTCTATCTCTATATGTTTGCATGAGCCAATCACGGAAAACAGAATATTGGCATAGCCATATCTGATGGGAATGGCAAAAGTCATAAAGCCAGCAGAGCTGCTTGATGAAGATCCAACAAAGCTAAGTCTCATGATGGCTGCCATTCCACCTTTGATTTTTATCTTCACCTGTTGCATACTTGAGGGACTTTTAATATTTGTACAATTTGGGGATATTGGATTGATGGGAAATTTCATATGATTCATTTATGCCTTTTCCCAGAAGTACTGCTTCTAAGCTTCCCCAGGAAAGTCCTGAACACACTACCCCTCCTGCTTTTATGGTAATATCCTTATCTAGTTGAAGTTATTCCTTATGCCTTGGAGGTTGTGACACACATAAAGAAGCCAGAGGTCTCCTTATGAGGCTATGAGACATTCTTGAAACATCTGTCACTGTACTTATACAGGAACAAGATATTCAAAACAAACTCAAAATGGTCAACAAGATTCAGTGGGCTAGAGGAGTTGGCCACAGTTCGGATTGCAAGCCTCTTTCCTCTATACACTCAGGCAATTATGTGGAATATACAGCAACAATGTTAGATTACCTGAAATTACCTCAACCCTACACAGAGATTTATTTTGATGACAAAAGTATGAGTGGAAAGCTGATAAGAGAATGAGATGCCAGGACCTCTCTTTCTTAGAAAAGTTAGCACATGCAGAGCCACTGTGGTGTCACATAACCAAGGAATGACAGAATGCCAGGATCAGACACATAAACAAATTCTACAAAGATAGAAAATATAAACATTGTATTATGAATAATAACTGCAGCAGCTTTGGCCTGAGGATTTTTCTTGGGCACTCTGACCATTCAGAGCTAATAATACACTGCTTGGGACATGGCAATATGCCTGGGCTGGCTTGAAGATTTTGTTTTGGTCTAGTGTTTTTGTAGTCACAAAAGCTACTGGCCTGAGAACAGGCTGTCATATGCCTCTAGATTTTTTTAAAGTTGGGTTATTATGAATAATGCTGCTACGAACATAGTTGAGCATGTGTTCTTGTGGTATGATTGAATATTCCTTGGGTATATGCCCAAGAGTGGTATAGCTGGGTCTTAAGGTAGATTGATTCCCAGTTTTCTGAGAAACTGCCATACTGATTTCCAAAGTGGCTGTACAAGTTTGCACTCCCACCAAGAGTGGAGGAGTGTTTCCCTTGCTCCGCATCCTCACCAACATAAGCTGTCATCAGTATTTTTTATCAATACCATTCTGACAGGTGTAAGATGGTATCTCAGAGTCATTTTAATTTGCACTTCCCTGATGACTTTTGATGTTGAACAATTCCTTAAATGTCTTTCAGCCATTTGAGATTCTTCTGTTGAGAATTCTCTGTTTAGTTCTGTAGCCCATTTTTTAATTGGATTGTTCAATATTTTGATGTCCAGTTTCTTGAAATTCTTTATTTATTTTGGAGATCAGCCTTGTGTCAGATGTGGAGTTATATGTTCATAGCAGCATTATTCATAATAGCCAGAATCTGGAAACAACCTAAATGCCCCTCAACCAAGAATAGATAAAGAAAATGTGGCACATATACACAATGGAGTACTACTCAGCAGTAAAAAACAAAACAAAACAATGATATCATGAAATTTGCAGGCAAATGGATGGAACTAGAAAATATCATCCTGAGTGAGGCAACCCAGACTCAGAAGGACAAACATGGTATGTACTCACTCACAAGTGGATATTAGATGTAAAGCAAAGGATAACCAGACTACAATCCACAACTCCAGAGAAGCTAGCTAACGAGGACCCTAAGAAGGACATATAGATCACCCAGCAATGGAGAAATAGGTGAGATCTACATGAGCAAACTGGGGGTGAGGGGAGTAATAGAGGGCAAGGGATGGGGGATGAGAACATAAGGGAATGGGAAGTTAGAGCTGGAAAAGGGACAGAGTGGGGGAGCAAGGAAAGAGTTCCCATGATAAATGAAGACATAGGAATAGGGAGAAACAGGGTGCTACGGAAGTTCCCAAGAATCCACAAGGATGACCCCACCGAGAGGGTGCCTGAATTGGCCCTACTCTGGTAATCAGATTAGTGAATACCCTAAATGTCATCATAGAGCCTCCATGCAGTGACTGATGGAAGCAGATGCAGAGATTCACGACCAGGCGCCAGGCGGAGCTCCAGGAATCCAATTGATGAGAGAGAGGAGGGATTCTATGAGCAAGGGACATTGAGATCATGATGGGAAAACATACAGAGACAGCCAGCCAAACTAGTGGAAGCGCATGAACTGTGGACCAATAGCTCCCATGGTACTGGACTAGGCACTCTAGATAGGTGAGACAGTTGTTTAGCTTTAACTGTTTAGGGGGCCCCCAGGCAGTGGGATCGGGATCTGTCCCCGGTGCATGAGCGGGCCATTTGGAGCCCAGTGCCTATGGTGGAACACATTGAGCAGTCTTGGTGAAGTGGGGAGGGGCTTGGACCTGCCTCAACTGAATGTACCAGGCTCTGCTGACTCCCTATGGGAGAACTTGCTTGGAGGAGGTGGGAATGAAGGGTGGGTTGGGGATAAGGCTGAGGGACAGGAGGAGAGAGGAGATGGGGATCTGTGGTTGGTATGTAAAATGAATAGAAAATTTCTTAATAATAAAAATAAAAAATAAAATAAAAAAGAATTCTACAAAAAAGTTGGGTAAAAATGATAACTCTGTTTATTAATGATGTCAAAACTTGAGGGAGAATAATTGAAAATGATAACTCTGTTCTGTCATCATTTATTAATGATGACTGAAAGATGGGCAAAAGGAAGTGCAACACATGTCCAAAAACAAAAATGACATGATCTATGTTTTGGAACAACATAAATGTATCCCTGCTTACTAAATTCTGTATAACTATAAAAGCACTCTGGCTACTAGTCAATCAGGCTGCAAGATTCTCCCGACCACCATGGCCTGGCTCCCTGGCTTCCCTGCCAACTCCTCACATCCTCTGCTGGGACCTGCCCCTCCCGGAACGGCTCCAGTCAGAGTCGGAAAAGCCGTACTGAGATGTGCGTCCCTTCTGTCCATCTCCTGTAACACAAAACACACAAGTGTCCCAAGTCTGATTTCTCCATCACTGCTGTTGCATCCACTCATCCTCAGACCTTGTCCTCATCCAGACCTGGACTCCGGCAGAATATCAATTCAAAGAGAACACACTCAATTCCAGAGGCCATGAACTAATACTAGTCTTGGCTTTTTGTTTGTTTGTTTTTGTTTTTTTTTCCTTTTATCAAAAATAGATTATTTTTTCATACAGTATATCCTGATTATAGTTTCCTCTCCTTCTACTCCTCCTAATGTCTCCCCATCTTCCCTCCCCTCCAGATCTTTCTGTCTCTCACTAGAAAATAACAGGCTTCTAAGAGATAGCAACCAAACACAACAAAATAATAATATAAAGTAAAAACTATAATATCAAAGCTGGACATTGTAGACCAACAGGAGAAAAAGAGTCCCCAAAACAAGCCCAATGATCATAAACCTACTTGTTCTCACTGTCAGGAGTCCTATAAAATATAAAACTGAAAGGTATAATATGTCTATATAAAGGACCTGGTGCAGATCCATGCACACCATGAGTTTTCTGCTTCAGTCTCTGTGAGCGCAGGTGTGCCTTGCTCAGTTGATACAGAGGGCCTTGTTCTCTTTATATCCTTCATCCCCTCTGGCTCTTTCACTCTTTCTACCCTCTCTTGGGTAGGCTTCCCTGAGCTCTGAGGGGAGGTATTTTATGGAGACATCACAGTTAGACTCCCTCTCTCTGCAAAATATCTGACTGTGGGTCTCTGCATCTGTTCCCATCTGGTGCAGTAGGAAGTTTCTCTGATGATGACTAAATAAGGCATTGATCTATGAGTATAGCAGAATATCATTAGGAGCTGTTGTATTGATTCTTCTTTTAGACCACTAATGTTTAGTTTTATCCTAGGTCTCTGGACTATCTAGTCTCTGGTTCTTGTTACCCTAGCACTGCCAGGTATAATTCTTTCTTGTGGAGTGGGCCTTAAGTCAAAACAGGCATTGATTGTCTACTCTCACAAGTTCTGCTAGGCTTTATAGGAGCAAGCGAAGGAAACTCGGATTATAAGACCCTAGACCACACAGACCAGGCTCTTATTGTAATTCAAGGTTTTTCCATGCATTATCTCATTCACCGCTTGTCACTTCATTTCTGTGACGTATAAAGTTGTTGTGATCATTCTACGGATGGCCACACAGGTGGCAACATTTCACACTGCCATACTCTCCAAGGGCAACTGTATTGTGAGTCCCTGCTCATGAGGCATGGCTTAACTCTCCATACACTCAGTGACACAAGTATCTTTTATTTCTCTCTCTTATGACTTGTACTTCATTTCTCCTTCTCATTTCTGCTCTGATAGTCTCCA